AGGGTTCGACTGCACATTTACCTGCAGTAGGTGAAGTGGGATCTTTACCTGGGTCAGCAGGAACCTGGGAGAGTCTCAGCATCGTGCTGGCACTGACGGGGGGCTGGGAATCGTGCACAGCCCGACAGGTGAACGCAGACTGCCTCCTCTGCTCAGTTGCTTTGACCTCCAGGGAGCTCTGGAGCGTGTACGTCCCGTCTGGATTCTCAGTCAGGGGGGAGGGTTTTCCCAGATTCGTCTCATGTCCGTTCTCCAGCCAGGTGAGACTCACGTCCTTTGGGTAAAACCCCTCCGCACGGCAGGTGAACGTCACAGACTTGTTCAGTGCGACGGGCGCCGCTGGGGCAGTGCCCACACGCAGCCTGGGGGGAACTGACAACACAGATATCCTGCACTCGGCATCTACAGAAATTCTCCTTTTCCTGCTGAGTTACAGGGGAATTCCTGGGCTGGACAAACAGACCTTCCCACTGACCCCACGTCCATCCACCCCGCACCCTCCTCCCAGCGCCCTCCCTGGAGCATGTCCAGCTCTCCCTGGAATGTCTTTCTCAAGGCCCTTCCCAGCTGGGGGGAGGCTCAGGGAAATTCTTTAAAAACAAACAGAATTAGCAGAGGGGGAAAAAATGTTCCTCACATCCCCACTTTCCCTCCCCTTCCTCTTTGGACAAAACGCACAGCGCGCTGGGTAACTTCAACTGGGGGGTGGGATCTTACCGGGGTTCAGACAAGGACAAACACCTTCCAACCCACACACCCTCCACACACACCCCGAACCCTCTGGGCCGGAGCAGGGCTCTTCCTGGCCCAAGGGAAGGGTCTCTACGTTCTAGGGGCCTGAGGATGAGAGATGGGCACAGGGCACAGACTGGACCCAAATCTGGATTTCAGTGTCTGACCCCCCACAAAATACCCACCCGAAAGGGACCCAAAGGGCGATGGGTCCGTCTCAGCCCCCCCACCCCACAGTAGTGGAGCCCCCAGGGGTCAGCCCCGGCTGGGCTCCTACCTCGCAGGGCATCGCTGAGGTTGTACGTCGCACGCAGGGCAGCCGGTAAGGTGCTGTGCTCTATCTGACAGGTGAGCTGGGAGCGGGTGTCTCCTGTGGTCAGGCTCACCCCCACGGTGCTGGACACGCTGTAGGAGACGCTCTCGTGTGCAGGGAGAACCCGGGGCTGGGGGGCTGGGAGTTTGGCCCCATTTTTGAGCCAGGTCACAGCGATGTCTCTGGGGGAGAATCCTCCTGACGTGCAGGTGAAAGTCACTGGGGGACCCGGCTCTGCCCTGCTGGGGGGGCCGGACACGGACGGGGCCGACGGTCTGGCTGCAGGGAGAAGCATTTATCAGTCAGATCCCTCTGCGCCTGAGAGCCCAGCCCCCCGCCCCACGGGACCCACCTCCTTACAGGGACAACCTGAGATCGGGGGTGCCACAGCCCCTGCCCCTGAGCAAATGCAAAGGGGGAGAGGGGACAAGACTAGGAGAGTCTTTGCTGGGGCTGGGGAAGTGTCATAGGAAAGGAAGAAAA